ATGACCACATTTTGTTAATTTTAGTGTCAGTAGGGTACCACTAAAAGAGGGAACCTTCTTCGATCCTCTTACTTGATTCTGGTGGAACTTGACTAGCCCAAAAGTAAGGGTTGTATTCATCTACCTGGTGGTAATAAACAGGGACCAGACACTCTGTGTACATCTACTCTGCTAAATAAGAGTGGAAAACGCAAGATCCCCATCCCCACAAGGTCCCTGTCCTTCCCTGTCAAGAGCTAACATAGTCCTCCAAGCAAGCACAAGGAGTTGACTTGCTGAAAGAAGGAAAAGAGGACCAGGGGTGAAAGAAACCCTAGATCAGCTGAAGGGCTGAGGGAGTGCAGGTTTGGTGCCACTGCCGTCTGTACTGCCTGTGGGAGAAGGCACAAGTGAAGGGTAACTGCCAAAGTCCATAGTCCTTCATGGCTGTGGGCACCACCAGCTTTGCTTTGGATGGAAAATCCACCCAACATTTGGGGCAGAAATGGGCACAGCCATACATAGATGCTACAACTAGGAAGATCTGCATTTTATTTAGAACCAGGACATAGAGGCACACAGCCAGGAATTGTCCCACCACAGCTTAGCTTTTGTTGAGGGTGAAGGCAACGTGGTTTTACTTCATGGCCAGGTTGGGTCGTGAGGCCATGTATAGTTAGTGTGGTTGATAGCTGACAAGTAGTGACCAATTCAGCTGCAGTAATGTGACCAACTGTCCACACTTTTGCTTCTTTACTTACCTGCTCCCAAAGCATCATGACTTAAGCGTGGAAAAGCCTCCAACAGGCCTATGGGGAAAATTATTTTCCAGTACACCAAATAATCCCTGTCCTGCGGAGACAGCTGCGAGTGTTGGTCTGGGGATAGGACAGGACATAGCTACATTGCATTCGAAGAGGCATCTTCAGGAAGTCCCAGGCCATGGTGAGACCCTCTGCACCATGCCTTGGCCCTTGTCCATCTGCCGGAGCCTTGTGCTTTTTTTTTCAGCTGCCGCCATGAAGCCATAACCCTGCAGAGAGCCCGTTCTCTGGAGAGCCCCCTGACTCCTTAGCTACCAGCAACGATCCAGCTCGGGGCTTTTATTGCTCCAACACTGAAATATTAATGATGCCATCAGCCTTGCGAGCTCTCTAGCACTCTTGACTTGTCTGGATCAATAGAAGCAGAGCAGACAGAGACATGAAAAAGAGCCGCTTTTGGAGGGTTTGGCGATTTCCAGGAGTGCTAACAATGATGCCCCAGACTTCCTCTGGGACAGCGCCAGGGAAGGTCAGACAGCCCTCCATCAGTGCCCATCGATCCCCTCCTGACTGGAGCTCATCCTAATGAATTGTCATAGAGGACCATTGTGCTAATGAACTCGCTATTAATGTGGGCTTACAAATGATTATGGCATTGATTAGAAGCAGCTTGTCAGCCAGAGTTGGTAGCGACAGCTTCCAGCTGGCTGCTTCTGACACCCGCCATTGCTGTCAGTGGCAGCAGGAGATACCGGTCCCCACCATCCTCCTCTGTCCCTTCATTTCAGGGTAGCGCTGAAAACACCCTCTGCCACTGAAAAAGTAGTCAGCCTTCATGCAGAGCAGGATCCAGGAGCAAGGACTGGTTGTGTTTCTACACCACCCCAAAGGGAAACAAGAGGAGCCTCATCTCCAGAGCCCAATCTGTCCTCAACCTGCCAAAGAGCAAGGTGTGAGCTCAAAACAGCAGGTTCCTGCCCCAAGCCCCTCCCAGAGCACAGCATCCCACCCAGGCCAAGGATCCCTCCAGTTGCTTCACCCCCTGGCCAAGGTGTCTGTGACCCCCCTGGATGTAGGGAAGAGGCAGCAGCTCTGGATGCGGTGCCTATCAGGATATCACACTTCAAGGCATACAGCACAACCCCTGCCTGTGACATGACCCTGCAATATTACCTAAAGGATTAACCTAGGGCACATCTACAAACCCCAGCAGTAGCTGGAGCCCAGATCCCTCCAGGAGATCATCATGCGACTGAGGTCCACAGCTCCCACCCGCTCCCAGGAAACCTCCCCAGACATCTCCATCCCTCCTCAGTGGATGCTGGACAGCATTCCATGGACCATCCATTGCAAGGTCCCATGGAATCCTTGGCTCAACTTGATTTTGTGATGCACAGGCAGCAGAGACCAGCTCTCTTCATTCACCCAACTGTGCTGCTTTTTACTTAGGGGCTCCCAACATCTGGAGTTTTAAGACCCTTCAGTGGGACAAATTTACAGTGAAAGGGCTCAGAGACAGGTAAATTGGGAGCCCAGAAACACCAGGTTCCAGATTTAATTTGTAACATTCCCCTAAGCTGGTTTAGGACTTTTCTCATTTTCTTCAGAGTAGCTCATTAAGAGAAAAGGCACCTGTGACCCTGGAGGAATGTTCCTGATTAGAAGGAGGAACTGGTAGATGCTGGTTACTCCAAGCAGGAGCTCTTCTGCTGGGAACTTGCCAGCTCAGGATGGGGAGAGAGGGACCTGTCTGTGCCCATCTGCTGAACCACGGTACAAACCAGGATGAAATTCCTCTGGGAGATGGGGCAGAGTGGTGTATCTGAAAGCCTTCATGGGATGTTGAAACTGTGTAGGGAGAGTTTCAGTGCCTGCTATAAAGAGGTTCATCTTCCCTGCAGCAGAGAGAGACCACACTGCCCCACTCACCTCCCACCTCAGCTCTGATGGAAAGGAGGACCCACCTGATGATCCACCTGAGGATTGTTTCCCCTCCTCTGCCCAGCTTTAAACCCTTCCCCAAACCACGCAAACTGCTAAATGCTCCATTAAGCCCTTCACACCAAGAGAAAAGAAGGTAAATTTTCATTTTACTTTTTACAGGAGATTAAAAGGTGCTCAAAAATACCAACAGTGACTTCAAAATCGGTGGGTGCTGTTTGGGGCAGCTTCCAAAAAGGGCATGAAGAAGACATGCACAGCCTCAGTCCTTAAGGGGAACCCTGTTGACTAGGCTTTTATTTACTGTGGTACACCAATACCCAGCAAGGTATCTGCAGCAAGAACTCTACCCCAGCAAACCGCAACGTAGCAATGGCATATTGTGAGACATGGCATGACAAAACTCCTTTGGATGTTGGCAGTAGCTCCTGTTATTTGGTCTAATGTAGTCTGTAGTCAGGAGCTCTGCTCTGCGATGTACAAAGTCTCCTATGGGAAAGTCTTCCAGGACCCTAGAAGCGGGTTTGGCCCACAATGGGTCCATGCAATGGCCAAGCAGGGATGCATCCACTTTTATCTCTCCTCACCGAGTCCAACATTTCTTGGGGTCTAAACAAAGACATCAACTTCTCCGGCAATGCCCATGGCACGGCTGTATGATTCAGTGGTTGCCGAGCTTTGGTTGTGGGCAAGACTCAAAGCTCCCAGCATCTCTCCAGCCAGTAGTTGATCTTCCTGCTTTCCTTCTCCTCTCTGCCTGGCATAGCTTATCCTTATCATTTTAGACGTGATTGTTTGGGCTGGGGAGGGCATGGAGTCTGCATCTCTAGAGGCTTGGAAGAAGAGGTTGGGCTCTTTTGGGCATGGTGTGCACAAGTCAGAAGGCCACAGGGGCAAAGTCACTTTGTCCTGGCTTTCCCATCGCTGCCCTCTCCTTACACATCTCAGGAAAATCTCAGGCCATAGCTTGAGGAGCACTCACCCATATTCGTCTGCAATCTTAGCAAAGGACCAGTTGTAATAATACTTAACTCTTTCAAAGGACATTTCTGTCTGTGGCTCACAAGAAGCTTCACCAAAATACCCTCCACTTTTTGGTGGAGGAAAAGGAAACGACCAAATTTAGCAGTTTATTCACAGTCACGGGACAAACCAGGCACAAAACACCATCCTGCTCCTAAACTTGCAGAGGTACCATCTCCCCTCTCTGCCTCCATGGCCACCCAGACACCTCTCCCTGCCTCAGCATCTGCAGAGGGTAGGAGATACTGCTTCTGGGGGACAGCAGCACCAGGTTGCTTCTCTGTGGTTTGCAAAGTGCTCCGCAGCCTCCCCGGTCTCAGATGCTTCAGAATAAATATATTCATGGGTGCTTTAAGGCCACAACAATGCACCAGTTGTTTTTGCTGCAGGGGACACAACGCTGGCTCAGACCCACAGCCCGCTCTGAGCTGCTGGCTCACTTTGCCTGGCTCTACACACACACGCACGCCTGCTCCAACCCATCTCAGCACCAACAACCTCCAGGCAGCACAAGGTGAGCAGCGTGCTGGAGTACACCTCCCCACAGAGAACCAACCCCCAGCGAGAAATGGTGGTGGCTGTTCAGGAAAAGGGTGGTCCAGCCTCCCCGCACCAGTTTGTCCAGTGGGTTTGCAATCTGCAGAATGTGGCACGTCCAAAGGTACTTCAGCCTCATGGCAAAGGTGATCCTCCATGGGACTGGTCTTCAGAGACGCCAAGCAGCCGCAGTAGGAGTCCCTGCAGCCTGCAAGCACTCAGCATCCTTGCAAGGAGAAGCACTCCATGGCAAACAATCCCTCCCGTTTTGATGGCTAGGATGGAAGCGGGAAGCCAGGGCTCTCTCTGGGTTGTTTCTCCTGTTTCTAGTATGGCAATTTCTTATTTTTCCGTCAGGCTTTTGGGATGCAGGTGCCACAGCTGGAGGGCTTAGGGCAGCCTCATATTTCCAACGCCAGCAAGACCCTGCGCCAGTCAGACCTGGTGAATCCCTGCCGAATTCACAAGCATGCAGTCTTATACTCTAGGCAAACACAGCAGCAAGCTCATGGTCTCCTCCTCCCCATCATTCAGACAGAGCATGAGGAGAGAAGGTATGGGGAACGTTTCGCAGGGCTGAGGGGCTTCGGAAGCACCGAGCTGTCCTCCACTTTTCTGCTCACCGTCCCTCATTAAAAAAAAAAAAAAAAAAAAAAAAAAATGAACCGTGTAAAAACTGAACCAAGAACTGAACTGTGAGAAAGAAAAATGAAGACAAAAGCACAGCTGGAGCGAGGAGGGCTGAGCAAGAGGGGATCAGGCTTTAAAAACGACAGAGCCCTTCAGCTGAGCTGGTTCGAGGCCGTCGGTGAAAGCGAGGAGAAAATACATCACCTTGCGGATCTGAGCTAACTCCGCTATCCGCTCCCCAAATTCCTGGGCATCTGCCTCGTTGCACTCCACCTCCTTGGCCCCTGGCTTCTTCCAGAAGATGCCCACCGGCTCCAGCAGCTGCCGGTTCATAAGGTGGGTGAGATCAGGAGTCCAGTGCTGGGAGGTGCCAGTCACCGTGACCTTCCCAGGTCTCTCCAGCTGGATGTTCCAGCGGAGGAAGCGCAGGTTGTGCTGCCGGATGAAATCCACTCGGTAGATGTGCTCGTTGGGACGCAGCAGCTTCTCACCATCCTGGGGCCTCACGTTTTTTTGCTGCAGGCTCTGGAATCGCAGGCGCATGCACCGGGTGAGCTGGTCATCGCGGACGAAGGGCAGCTCGAGCGTCCCTGCCTCGGCTGCCATCGCCTCGGTTGCTCCTCTGCTACGTCCTCAGCAACGTTTGACTCTCGAACAGGACACGCAGGGGGAAAAAGCCTCCAAGCCCCCGGAGCTGGTGCCCCCTCTCCACGGTCCCAGCGGTGCTAGGCAACCCAGGCCAGTGACGCAAAACACCCTCCGGGGCTTCCTCTGGGTGCCCTCCCACCTCGTTTACAGATTAGGAACTGATGGTGCTGCTGTGCACGATAATCTATAGGGAAGGGATGTCTGATGTCAGCCTCCCTGGCAACCTCCCTGACAACCGCGGCTCGCTATCCCGAAGCGAAGGCGTGCAGCCAGGTCTGGGTGGTGGTGGCTTTCTCTGAGGGTAGGCTCACGGCATAATTCAGGTTGGAAGGAGAGTCTGGAGGGGTCTGGTCCAGCCTGCCACTCAAAGCAGGACTGACTTCGAGTTAGATCAAGTTGTTTGGTGCTTTGTCCATCCTATCTCCGAGTATCTCCATGGATGGAGATTCCACAGCCTCTCTGGGCTCCTGTTCCAGTGTCTGACCACGCTCACGCTGAAGATAAGCTGCAGCTTGTGTTGCTGTCTTTTGTCCCGTGACTGTCCCCAGCAAGAGACTGGCTCTGTCTTGTCCGCACCCTCCCATTAAGCAATAAGCTCCCCCTTCACCTTCCCTCGTCCCGGATGCACAAACCCACTTCTCTCAGCCTCTCCTCATACGTCCTCTGCTGCAGACCATCTTGGTGGCCTCCATCAGGCTCACCTCAGCCTGCCACTGTCTTCTTCTGGGGACCCCAAAACAGTGCCCAGATGGGCATTAACAAATGCCAGACAGAGGGAAAGAACAATTTCCCTCACCGTGCTGACCATACCCGTGTTAGTTTGGCCCAGTGTGTGCTTGGCCAACTTCTCTGCAAGGGCACATGTTTGACTCATGGTCAACTTGTCCCTCAGGACCCCATGTCCTTTCCAGAAAAGGACTCCAGGAATCAGGAGCCACTGCTCCTGCAGCAGCAGGTGGCCACCAGCAGCTCAGCATGGGTTTGCCTGCCCTCGAATAGACTGGCCCGATGTTGGAGAGGGTGCTCATGTGTGGGCTTCACCTTTGTGTTCCTGGGAAAGGGGAACTCAGGCACAGTCTGTGCCTTAATGCTTGTCTCTTTGAGCCAGGTGGAGGAGTAGGTCCAAGACACAAGCAACCTAAACAACCTCTTCCCAGGCACCATAGGGATGCCCTGAACACACATGAGCAAGACCATCGTGCCCAATCTGGAACAACTCATTCCCCAGCAATTGCTGGGGACAATTAAATCCAGAGCAGTGGTGGTGTGCTGGTGATTGTCCAGACAGCGGATGGGATAAAGGGAGGTAGTGGTGAATACATTTCTCTTTGCAAGGTGCTGGGTGGCTCCACAAGGCTGCGGATCCTGAAGAGAGGTGCCATGCCAAGCCATGACCCCCTCTACCAGGTGGCCCCGTGAAATGATGGCTAAACCACAGCCATGGTTTTAGATGCACCATGGAAAAGGCCTGATTCCTGCAAGCGTGACATGCTATCTTGGGGATGTAGTCACTGGTTTGCACACTCAGAGATTGCAGGGGGTTCAGCACAAAGCTTTAGAGGGGTCACTGTGTGGAGTCAGGTCATTTGGGTTCTCTCCATCCCATCTGTGACTCAGGTTGGCTTCCGCCACATACAATGTTTGCAGGGCACTTTGGGAGTTCAAAGTTAAATGAACTCCAGGAAACAGTTTTTCTAAAATATTTTTACAAAGGGCTGTGCCATCACCTGTACTATGATGTCACATGTGACTAACAACCATCTAGAATCATCCCTGTAGGCTATCAGTTTGACTTCCAGAAGAAGTCCTAAAAAAGACAATCAGAAGCTAGCCTTGGCCAGAAAATCCACTGACACCAGGGAACCCAAAGTCAGTCATTTTACTGGGAATTAGCCTGCAGTAACCAGTTTGCTATCACTCCTGAAGACCCTGAGAACAGAGTCAAGAAAGCTAAGAGCTACACAGCCCTATTTGAAAGGACAAAAGAGAGGTCTGAGGAAACCAGACCCTTCTTTCTGCCCTCTGAGATCTCATCTCGCTTGTTTACTAGCTTTAAAACACCTTTAGCAACAACTGTTGATCCAACTCTTGGGTTTTAACAGTTAAAATGCCTTCAGGTAACCCTGGAGACCTTTTCTGAGCTGAGCTACATGCAGCGATGTCACGTGGACCTTGCTTGGACTGCCTTGGTTCTTTTACCTCCATATGTGGTGGCAGTAGAAGGAGCAATGACCTTGCACTTGATGATGAACGGACTGCAGTGGCGGTCCAGCCCCCAGGCACCATGTGATGTTCCTCCCCTGTCCTGGCTGAGGCACAAGATCAGCCTTTGGGTCCTCCTCAGAGAGCAATAACTAACCCCGGGTTATAGAAGACCTATGCAAAATGGACTTTGGGAGGTGCATGCCCTCAGAGACATCTGTTCATGACATCCCATCCAAGACCACCCTGGGCTCTGGAAGCAACTGAGGGGGCAGGAGACCAGGCTAGGTGGTGGAGATGCAGGGTTGCCTGAACCACTTGGCTTCAGAGTCTGGCCCCTGTCCCTCATTTGTTGAGCAATACCAGTGCAACCCATGAGAGCACAGGTTATAGATCCAGACAACCCTTTAGGACAAAGCTCTACCGGAAATTATTTAAACTCTTTGGTTTCAAGGCCTTAATTTCTTTTCGTAAGAGCTAGACACTTCTGAAGGGTCACAGAAAGGGTGTTATAAAGCTAGAACACACCTAAAGCCATGTAGGGCCAGCCAAGAGTCAGGAAAACAGAAAACAGCTCTAAATTAACTTCCAGTCCCCCATTTCCACTCAGTGGCTCAAACACCACAGGCTTAATGTGAAGGAGGGACATGGAGGGAGCCTTGGGGTGAGGTGGAAGAAAGCATGTGAATAAAATTGTCTCTTGTGATACACAGGGATGTGGCTGGCCTGTCTGATTCCCTTGAAAGTATTCCCTCTCCCCACACTTGAGAGAGACAGTTTCACTCTGTGAAGTGGAGCAAGAGACATGCAGATCCTAAGTTACACCCTGGTTTAAATTAGGATTACATTTTCTAGCAGCAATGGGAGACCTGGGCCAAGATCCCTGTACTGACATGTCAGTGATACTAAAGCCTGCATCAGCATCTTTCAGCTCCTCCTGGACCCTGAATTAGAGAAGTTTTGGTGTCTAAAGACACTAAAATTAGGTTTTTAAATAGGTTTAAACCCCTAGTGTTTTGCTACTATGTCTGTCCTCTCAACTGTTGCTTACATCAGCATAGTGACCAGTCAGGAGTAGCGGTTTGCCCTGCAGGCTCTGGGTCCTATGTCTGGAGATGCCCAAGAGCCAAGGAGCAACAGGTACCTCCAGCAATGTTAGCTCAGTTACAAGTCCGACTGTACCAAGGACCAAGGGGTCCATTATTTCTGGGCCAACTAAGGGATCTGAGATGTTCGGCAAGAACTGTGCTTTAATTCCAGCACACCCAGCAGAGCTGGTGTCTCTTTGGACCAAGGGGTTCATCTGTGCACTTGACATCTCCCGTGTTGCCTTAAAAGTTGCTGCTGCAGTTTATAGCCACGCTTACTCCTTGCAACTCATCATAAGCCCTCAAAGCACTTTGCAAAGTGTGAGCAAAGGTCCCATCTAGTTCAGAGGTCTCCAGAAGCAGGGGGGTGCTGAAGCATGTCTGACCAGAGCCCTGTAGTGAACACCACAGCAAAGGGAGGGAAGGCTTGGGGAGAGGGATGCAACTTTTGCTTTTGCCAGAAAACAAACCTTCCTGAAAGAAAGAGGTGGCAGGTAAAGAAGAGCCTCTGAGAGTTAAGGGCATGGAAAATGAAAAGTCACAAACACCACAGCTGAATTGCCAAGGGAGGAAAAGCAATGCCATTGGCAAACCGAAATAATGAGGTGTCCAATGGGACCTGGCTTCTGCTCGGTTGGCATTTCCCAGGGCAGGGCTGGAAGTGAATGGTGAGGAGTGAAGACAACTTGCCTGCTCCCCCTTGGGAGATCTCGATGCGGATGAACAAGCTAAACAACCCCTTGCAGCACACCTGTAACGAGAGCCACCACAGTCACCACAGCCACGATGGGAGGAGACCTTACTGCTTATCAAGAAGCCAACAACAGCTATCCTATTTCCCATATAAAGACTTGATTTTAACAAAAAAATGGGGATGCTGCAACAACCACAAATCCCTGAGCTTAGTGTTCGTGATCACAAAACCCACACGCAGCAGAGACAGGGAGTACCACAGCACAGAGAGGAGATGCGAAGGCGTAGGGTGGAGGGACCCTTTTTGGGTTTGTTGCAGTAGGAGGCTGTGGGTGAAGAGGGTGATGCTGTCTGCACACGCTGTAGGACTTTGATGGCCACCTTTTGCAGTAAAATCTGGGAAAAGGTGCTTGCAACTTGCTGGTCTCTTGTCCTATGATGAGACACACCTGCACCAGGGACTGAAGCCCATGTTTGTCTTGGTTTCCACAGACTTGATCTCTTCTGCAGCTGAGGACATGGAAGAGATGGGCAGAGACTATCCAAGGATGCGGCGCTGAGGACCTCCTTCCCCTCTGTACCTCTGTGGTTGCTCCCTTGGTCTGCTGCCCCTTGATCTGGTGCAGCCTCTTCATGGCTTTCTGGCCTGCAACACAGTCCCTTTGGACCCCACACTCAAAGGAACACTGCTACATGGTGCAATCCAGCCATAGGACATGCCAGGGATGGATGCTTTGGGGAGGCAGCAGCTTGGGAGAGATATTAATACCCTCAAATCACCCTACCTGCCCCAGCGCAAGGTGTCTCATTGCCAAGATGGGCACACACTGAGCAGCCAAAGAGAGGTAACACCATGAGAACTAAGGAAATGGGGCAAAATGCTGCAGATGAGCATCCTGGATTTTGTTCTTCTTGTTGTTTTTTAGGTTATTTTGGAGTGGGGAGGGTCAGATTTGAGACCTGGAGGACAGCACA